CTGCGGGCCACCTGCCACGTGCCGGGGCGGGCGTCACGGCGAAGGGGCTCGTGGGCCAGTGACGCACGGGGACAACCTGCCACGAGGCTGGGGACGGTGACTCAGGGACACGGGGCGAGCTGGCCCGGAGGGCGGGGGTTATGTCGGCGGCCGCCCGTGAGTCACCCGTGGCGGCGGCGGCCAGTGGGGCCGGCCCCCCAGCACCTCCATTGCTCCGTCCCGTGGCCCCCTCGGGTCTCTTCTTGGGGGTCCCGGTGTACAACCCCCCACCATGGCCCCCCTCAGCAGCTCGGCCGGTGTGTTTTGAGCCCAGCAGCCCCCTGCAAAGCTGCCGGCTGTGGGTGCAGCCAAGCCCACCCGCGTTTTGGGGCTCCGAGAGGCCGGGGCGGACGCGGAAACGGGGCGTCTGCGTCAAACCAAGCGATTTTCCCAGGTTGCCGGAGCGGTCGGAAACAGCTCCCTCTGTTTGTGAGCCCTTTGTGGTGCCATGGGAAAGTCTGAACACTGACCTGCTCCTTCCAGCCCCAGCTTTGTCCCCTGGGCAGCAGCAAATGAGCATTAGATCTTAATTACAGCTCCCCAGGCAGCAGGGACAGAGGTCGCCTGGCCAGCACAGTGGGACACGTTTCTCATGCAAACCTGGTGGCCGTGGGCAGCCCGGTCTCTGTCCCCAGCGCAGGGGGACATGCGGTGGCATCCCTGCACCCCTCGGTGTGCTGAGAGAATGGGCAAACTCACAGCACCAGCGAGGGCTGCTGCAGCTCCCTGAGCCCTTCATGCCTGTAAACTGTCTCCAGCAAAACCTCAGATCCTAGCACAGGATGTTCCCCTCTGCTCCAGCACTAAAAATCTCCCATTTTTCCTCCAATTTTATTATTCTAGGGTTTTGGTGTTTTATGGCACAGGGAAGGAGCAGCAACAGAGAGCGGGTGCCTCTTGGCTGCCTTCTCGTCCCGGCTAGGCCTTGAACGATGCTGCAGGCTGCAGCCGCTGCAGCTCCAGGACACGGATGAGGAGGAGGAAGGCGATGCTCAGGAGAAGCAGCCAGAAAAAAAGCCAGTAGTGCTGCGGGAGGAAGAGCCATGGCCGCCACAGCTCCGCCGGGGACCCCTTGGACCTGGGGAGAAGGCAACCATGGACACTCATCATTCCGGGGGGAGAGCAAATCCCACCTCTGCCCCCGCTGGGGATGAGGAGGGTGTTTAACCCCAAACTTCACAGGTTGTTTTGCAAACCCAAATGCAACAAGCCTGGGAAGGGCACTGGTGACCTGCAGTGCACCGGGGAAACTGAGGCAGAGTTGAGATGGGGCAGCCAAGCAACATCCCAGGCTTCCATCACCAAATCCCCAAGCCCGGTTCCTAAATGCTGGCCACTGTGGGACCACAGAGAGTCCAGCAGCCGTGTCAGGGGGGAATGCTGGGCACATGCAGGGTGCTGCTCACGTCAGCCCAAGCTGCTCCAGCTCCTCGTCCCCTGCACTGGAGCCTCTGCCATCTGCCTCTGCCACCAGCTCCCCGGTCACAGCGCTGCCCTGGCCCTGCGGCTCCAGCTCACTCCTGGGGAGGGAGAGGACGGGGTGCTGTGCCGTCCCCCGTGGGCCAGCAGCAGCCAGTGCCGTGGCCTCCCCGCCACCCGCTGTGGTTACCTCTGGGTGCTGGGCCGGCGCTGGGCCCCCTCCCTCTCCAGCTCGCTGGCCAGGGCTGTTCGGCTGTCAGGACCGGCACCTGGCTGGGCACCGAAGGTGGGAGCATCAGTGGGGCCCCAGAGCCCCGGTAGCACCGAGCTTGGGGACACGTGTCCAACAGCAGGGCACAGCTCCTGTCCTTCCCCCCCCCAACGCGTGTCCTTACCAAGAGCTGCTTGGGGATGACGGCGATGCTGACTCTGCGGCGCACAGACCCCTGCAACGGAGGGGCTGGGGATGAGCACTGTGGCGTCTGCCTCCCCGTGCTCCACATCCCCTCCTTCCCCATCGCCTCCCCAGCACGGGCAAGGGACACCAAGGAGGAGAAGGGATGCTGCCAGCCTCCCGCTGGCCCTGGCGCTAAGTGGGGAAGCCGGAGAGCTGGTGAGATGAGGGAAGGTCAAAGCCAAGAGGTTTGTGCCTGTCCTTGCTGCTTCAAGCCGTGCTGGTGGGGCTGCCTAAACCCCTCCCCGAGCGCTCCCCTACCTCTTGAGCTGTAGGGGAATCAGTGCCGAATTCGAGCTGGTGCTAGAGAACAGCCAAGCCTGCAGCTCTCGTGCTATGACCCTGCAATGCAGAGGGACCTGCCTGAGATCTCCTGGACAAGCAGCCCCCAACCCTGGGCACCCTGTCTCCCCAACCCTGGGCACCCTGTCTCCCCGCAGCACTCTGAGGCCGCCCCTACATTTTCGCCTCAGCCCCAGCATTTCTAGCAGACCTTGCCCGCAGCAAGCAGCTGGCAGGAGTGGCCCGGGGACTAGCAGGTATGTGTGGGGACCACCAGGCAAGGGGGGTCAGCTCCAGGATTGCTGAACTGGGACCAGTTACCTGCTGGAAAGTTCGCATCAGGGGGTGAGGCCTCAGCCGTGGCTCTGTGTCATCTGGGAGCAAAGAGAAGCAGCTTTACATCACCCCCAAAAACTAAGGCTGGGATGATGCAGAAATGGTTTCAAACCTCCCTCCCATCAAAAGCTGTCCTGGCCACGTGCTCTGTGCTTGGCACAAGTCACAGAGGTGCCCCGGCTGGGGGGACCTTTCTCGCATGCATGGCGACGGCGTGCCTGGGGTTTGGCGACAAGGGACAGAGCGTCCTTTGTGTGCCCCGTGCCCCCCAGCCCCGCATTCCCAGCTGGGCCACGGGACAACAGCTCTCTGGCCACCAGCACCTGCTCCCACGCTGCGTGTGCTGTTACAGCGGCCCCTCACATTTGTCATCAGGTCCCAGCTGTCACCCACCCCCGGTCCCTGGCTTGCACAACCCGCCAGCTCTGCGGCACGGGGTCACAGTGGCCCCCTGGAGGGCTTTGGGACCAAATCCCGCAGGGTTGCCCCATGCAAACCCCGCGCGGGCCCCAGCGGCAGAGCCCACCTCACCCTGGGTCTCCGCCAGCTGCCGGTTGCGGGAGTTTTGCTGGATCAGGCGCTTCATCTCCTCCAGCTCCGCGTGTTCCCGCATGTGGTGCCGCTTCAGGTTCTCCACGTGCTGGACCATCACCTCCGCCGCGCGGCTCATCCGGGCCTCCTGCGGCCAGGCAGGATGGGGGATCAGACCCCCCCCCCATCTCCCAGTCCCTAACCCAGCCAGTCCCTCACTGTGCATCCCACAGTGCCTCCACCCAGGGGATGCCATCGTGTCCCCTTCCTGCTCCCCAGGGCAGGCAGATCCCTGGCACCCCAGTACGTGCAAACAGGAGGTTCAACTCCAGCACCACGAGGAGGAGGGACAGACCCCAGCAAGCCCAGTCGTGCGTCCCCAAGCCCAGTCACAGCACCCTCTGTCTCTCCCAGCCTGGCAGGAGTCCCAGGCTGTGCACAGACCTGATGTACAGCCCCCAGCTTCTCAGCGGCAGTGGTTGCCCGCTCGACAGCGGCCGCCAGCACAGTCAGGCTGCACTGCAGCTGCTCCAACGTCTCCTTGCAGCCCATGTCAGTGCAGGAAGGGCCCAGCCTCTGTGGAGGGAGAGGATGGCGCTGCCAGAGCCAGGACTTTGAGTTGTCCAAACCCCTCTGGGGCTGGATGTCCCCAGCAGATGCCAGCCCACTGGCCCTTGTGCCCACCTACCTCCAGGGCAGCCCGGCACTGCCCCAGTTCCTCCTGGATGTTTTCCTCTGCCGCGTCCCTGGCCCGTTTCTCCACCTGCATCCGTTGCCGCAGGGTAAACACATCGCAGCGAAAAGCCAGGGCTAGGTGGGCAAAAGCTGCCTGCAGGGCGGGAGGGTGAGAGGTGGGACATTGGGTGAAGAGGCAGTCACCAGAGCCCCGTGCTGCTGTCCCCAAGGCACAGACAGACCCCCTAGCAAGACACCACTCAGGGCAGTACAAAGGCACTTGCCTTCCCTCAGCACCCGTTAGGCTGCTGCATGCTGGGGACAGTCCCCGTGAGGTGCCAGCCCGACCGAGACACGTCCCCCAGGCAGCCGATAACGCATGGAAATCCCAACCCCTCCTGGCAAGAGCACGCGCCGGGCAGACGCCAGCCCTCCCTGCAGGTCCTGGCTGACAGTGGAGCCTGACTCAGCCCTGGCACTCACAGGAAAATTATTTTTATTAGTGCAGCTTCCACCACCTCCCTGGCTAAGGGTGCTCTCGACGAGCTGCAGAACAATTTGTGGGATTGCCGGGCGCACAGAGGACGGGCTCATCTTGCCGTGGAAATGCAGCTGCCTCCGAATGCCAACAGCATCACCGGGAAAGGGATTTGGAAGGCAGCTGCCAGGGGACTGCGGTGCTTGGAGGGCAGCCAGGAGCAGGGCACAGCCCCAGGACTGTGAGCCAGAGAGGCGTCTCTTCCTTGTCCCCCCTCCCCAGCCCACCTGCAGCCCCCAGCAGCCCTCACCTCCACGTCCTGCTCCGTCAAAGCCACCCTGCAGAAAGAAAAGTGCTGTCAGGGATGGAGGCACCATGGGGACTGAAAATGCCCTTGATCTGCTCCCAGGGGTGCCAGCCACCACCAGAAGTGGGGACCCAAGTGTCTCTTGCCTGAAGAGTGGCTCTTGTGCAGTGGAAAAGGAGGAAAGTCCAATCCCTGGATGACTTGGTGACAAGGGACCCCCTTGTCCCATAGCCACCAGAGGGACACAGGTGGTCACTGGTCTCACCTGTGCAAGCCCAGTCTCTCCAGCATGGAGAGCTCGCTGGGAAGACTCAGCAGCAGCTCCTCCGGGGTTTCTGCATCTGCAGGGAGGCAGGAATGCCACAGGAGAGACCACATGAAGGCTTTTCCTTGGCCTTTGCTCCTCCCTCTGCCCTCCTGTCCCGGCAGGGAGCAGGTGCCCATGGTGTGGGACTGTCCCAATCCTTCCCCCCGCATCAAGGGGGCTTCAGCCCCCCCCAGGCCAGTCCCCCCTTCCCCATGTCATCTCCCCCAGGGAGATGACTCCCATCAGGCCACACTGTCCCCATGCGCTCGTCCCCAGCTACTTCAAGCCTTCCCCTAAGGGGACCCAGCTGGGGTGTGGGATGGGGACTCACCCACCTTCCTCGGTCCCATCACTCTCCCTGGTGCGCACAGCCAGCTCCTGCCTGTCCATGCCTGGCACCTGGGGGGGGGGGCACAAGGGCACTGTTGGAGCAAAGCCCTCCCCGGTGCTGGGCGCCATCTCAAAAAGAGCACCCCGAGAGGCTGGGGGTCCAGCCAAGTCCAAGGGAATGGGGAGGGAAGGGCCCACCCAAGCTGTTGCCCTCCTGTCCCTCTCACCTCGCCGACATGCTCCACGCTCTGCTTGCTCCTGGCCAAAACCCCATCTGGGTGCTCCTGGGGACTACTCATCCTCCCTGGGGACAGAAAGGGTGGTGGGAGTTGGGCAGTAGCATCTCCTCCCCAGCCTGACACCACTTTAAGGGAGACCCCCAGAAACACTGCTGGCATTTTTGAAGAAGCCTGCAGGATCCCAGGGAGTCCGTGGGCTGGCAGGTGCCCCCCAAAATACCCCTGTGTGGTTCAGGGAGCTGCAGCCAGGCTGGGCCAGGGCTGGGGGAGGAGGGTGAGGGGTCTGGTGCAGTGTGTGGGTTATGGGTTACAGCTGTCAAAACAGATCCAGGGGACAGGGTCGGGGTCCCAGGGCCGGAAGGGGTGTGGGGTTGCCAGCAGGTGCTGCCAGGCCAGGGGACACCCTCCTGTGGGACCCATGCAGTGTTGTTCACGGAGGGAGGGTGCAAAACCCACCCTTTTCCCCCCATCCCCACCTTGGGCTGCCCTTACCTTCATCCGGAGATGCAGGGAGCCCGGCCAGCTCTGCCTGCTGTTCCCTGCAGAGAGAAGCCTGTGTAAACCCCAAAGAAACTCCAGCAGCAGAGGCAGCATCCCACCCCCTCTGCTCTCACCCAGCCACCACGGCACCCCTCAACGGGATGCTGCTCCGGACCTGGGTCCTTTCCGAGCATCCTCTGCAGCTCGCTCCGTCCCTGTCCCCGCTCTCCCTGGCACGGGCGCAGCAGCCCCCTCCGCTCCTGCAGCCACCGCAGAGCCGCCACCGAGGAGCCCGCTGAAGCCGTTTCCAGCCAGCAATGAGTCACCGGCCCACGGCCGTGCTTCTCCTCAGCACATTATTATTTTATTTTTTTTCTTCCCTGGCTGCCAAGAGGACCTTGCTGTGAGCCGGTCTCTTCACAGGCATCACAACAAACCCAGCTGCCTGCAGAGCCCAGGCACCATCTCATATCACTGCCATGGGGATGGCAGGCCTTGGCACATGCTCTTGCCCCCCAAAAGTGCATTGGGACGGTCTCACCACCCCAAAACGCTGTCCTGGGTGCAAGGAAGTCTGGCAGCTCTGTGGCATCCCAGGTCAGGGATGGCAGGTTGCCTGTGCATGAGATACAGTGGCTGCCGTGCAAACAGCCCTCTGCAGTCTCGTGCTGAAGCTCAGCACCCACCTGGAAAAGGGTTTGAACCCTCAAACTTTGCTCCTGCATAGGGTTTCCTCCCCCAAACTCTCTTCTCTGCAAGCATGGGGATTGTTCCCCAGGAGCAGTGCGCTGGAATGATGCTCAGTGTCTCAGAGCAGGGTGATGCTCCAGTCGGTGTCCCCCCCTTGCCTGGCACTGCTGTCCCTGTCCCATCCTCGCTGGCACCCCGAGAGCCATGGAGTGAGCCTTCCATGCACATACCTCCGAGGCGAGGGGCTGGGTCGGCAGCTCGTCCTCTGCCGCTGCTGCCGGCGGCACCCCTGAGCGAGTCCCTGTGCCTCCTCTACCCCTCTCCCAGCGAGGTCCCTGCGAGCGGCTTCATTTGCAAAGCGCGGAGGCTCCAGGACCAGCACACCTATCATGAGAGACACATATTAGCTGCGCGCAGATGGGAGAACGCCTCTAAATGTTATATTTTTAAAGCATTTTCTCACCCAGCAGGAGCTCCAAGCTCCTCTGCTTAGCGTGGAGGCATCTGTGGGAAAAGAGGTGGGGAGGCCCGCTGCAATTCAGGAGGATGCTGCTGGGATTCAGGCGGGCACGGAGCGAGGCGAACGAGGAATTTAATACAAGCCCATTTCTGTGCAGTGCTGAGGGTGGACTTTCCCACTCGCCGCCCCCGTTTCCCTCCCATGGGGTGATTCTTGCTTGGGGCTCGTGATGTGGGTCATCTCCGTGGGGGGAGATAAGTTTGCACCCACCTACTAGTGCGAGCACCCAGTGCAGAGCTGGAGCAACCCACTGTACCCCAGGCAGGGGACAGGCCAACCCGCGAGCACCCCCCTGCCAGGCCAGCTCTCAGATAGACAAGTAGAAGAGATTCCCGAGTCCAAGGGATCTTGGATGTCTACATTTAAGCTGGTTTGCAATGCTTAAAAATCAGAAAAAAACGGCAGAAAGTCCACAGAGCCCCTCTCCCAGCCCAGGGTAAAGCCCCTGTGCAGAAGGGACTCTCCTGCAGGATACGTCTCCTCGGGAGCTGTGCCCATGGACATGCAGTTATGGGACTGAAAGATTTTTTTTTTTTTTGGCAGGGAGATGAAATGCAGCAGAGATTTAAGGGGACAGAGAGCAGGGACAGCTTGAAGCCCCCCATGCCTGTGTAGAGCCTCAGCCAAGCTCAGTCTAGATCACCCCAGCACCAAGCAGGGTCATCATCCCTGTGCCAAGTGGGACCATCACCCGTCTCCCAGAGCCTGCTCAGCACTGATAGAGGTGTAAAGGCGAACAGCACTTGGCATCTGTCAAAACAAGCCCATTTCATGCCTATACACTCGAAATTGTCCCTGACACCTCTGCCTAGGGGCTTGGCAGCCCCCGGTCACCAGGGTCCAGCCAAACTCATCACAGCATCAGTTTTCCCGAGGGCTGGTCCCTGCTGCAAAGCACTTGCTCCACAACAGTCACAGCAGACCCTGCAGCCTACAGATTTACTACAGCTTAGACAGCTTTACACTAGCTCCTTATCTTTGTTTTACGGATGAAAATAGAGAGGCACACAGCTTGTTTGCCCAGAGTGGCACAAATAACCCCCTGGGAAGCCAGACCAAGTGCTTTCCCTCAGCTTGGCAACTTTACCAAACAGTCCCCGGGTCATTACCTGCCTGAACTTGTCTCAAGCAGCCGAAGGCAGATGCTGGGGCCACCCAGCTCAGACCTGGCACTCGGTGCTGTCAGGTCCCGGGCAGACCTGGGAGGGGGGCCAGGGGATGCGTCGTGGCTGGCAGATGGAGGGTTGGGGGGTGCCGAGGCCCCACACGGTGAAAGCTGCCGGCAGCAGATTCTCCCTGGAGGGGAGAGCGACTGCATCTGCAGCAGAAGGATCTGCCAGAGGAGAGCTCGATGCGAGAAGGCCTTTAAAGGACATGCATGAGAACGGCTGGGAGCTCCCTGCGCGGGCCGGGGCGGGCTGAACGGTTTGCAGGTGGCCAGGCGACCTCTGATTTTGGTGTGGGGCTGGATCCTGCACCCGCACTTTGGAGTTGAGAGCTGTTACCCAGAGCTGGGAGAGACCACGACTGCTCCCTCCGTGCCCGGCGTCTGCAGAGCGGAGCAGACCCGAGTCTCAGCATCTCCCTGGCAGGAGGCTCAGGGCAGGGTGGTGGCACTTGGGACCTCCATGTAGATGGGGGATCCCCCATGCCTTCCTGGGTGGCACAGCACCAGGCTAAACCAGGATGGCTGACAAGGAACCCCTGTAGCATCATATTTGATGATGCAGGGAAGCCACTCTGCCCAGGACCCCCATCCCTTCTGCCCCCCTTAGCAGCCCCACTTTCCCCCCAGCCATTACTCCCATGCCCCTTTCCCTGCCCGACTCCTTTGCTCAAATCCATCACATCCTCTAAAGCTGCTTCCTTCCCCTAATGAGCTTATGTGGAGTCAGACTCGATGCTCAGCACTACAGAGGACCAGGCTGTGGGCAGGCAGCCGCTGTTAGTCCCCCCATGCCCGGGGACCCTGATGTACCATGAGGAATAAGGCAGGTCCTTGGGGTCTGCAAATCTCTTAAGCCCTGAGAAGTCAGCCAGCAAACAGCATCTCCCAGCCTCGGGGCAGGGCTGGCTCAGTCTCATGCCCATCTGCTGAGAGTGCAGGATGCGGCCCCAGGTCCAGGGAGCAGCCAGGGAGGGCTGAGAGAGCCCATCTGCAGCTTTGAAGTAGGAACCTGTGCTGTGCCACGGTGGGATGAGGCTTTGGAAATGGCCAATGGTCACCACCAGGTCAGGATTTCAAACGTCCTTGAAGCTCCAGGGATGGGTTTTCTTCTCTTGGGGCAAAAACCTCCTGCCCAGACCTGACCCAAGATCAGAACTGCTGAGAAATCATGAGTCACTGTAGGAGAATAGCCCCAAATTCCCATGCTGTTTTTCCTGTAACACAAATACCTAGCAACACAAGCTGTGGTATGCATGATTAGCACCAATTAATGACAATTAACACATCCTAAGTTCACACCACCAGCACCAGGAAGACACCAGACATGCCGAAAGGTGGAGTGGCATTGTCACCTTATATTCTTATATATCCTCTGCCTTTCTTTAAAATATCTTCCCTGTGATTTCCTCTCTTCCCCATGCCTGTTTGCTGTCCCTCTCCAAGAGTTTCCAGGCACAAGGGTTGGCCACTTGTGCTTCTTTTTAGAGAAGGATTTGCTGAGACACACTTCCTAGAGTGAGCAGGTCGCCTGGCCTGAGCATGAGAATGCTCAGGGCTTGCACTGGCAGGGCCAGATCAATCCCACAGGTGAGCACATCCAGCCGAGCCTGGGTGCTGTGCAGCAGTGATAACCCCGAGCAGCGGAGCTTTCCCCCTGCCCCTTACCCCCATTGCTTTCCCAGCTCACTGGTATCTCAAAATGCAGGTGAATTCTTCAGGCAGATGAATTCTTCACCTCTTCATTTCAGAAAGGGGAGACCCAGGCAGATGAGAAGACCCTTCCTTTGGGCTGACACTCAACAGATAGAGCCCAGTGGCCCATCGCCCTGATGCCATTCCCCTCCTTGAGGACCTTCCCCTGCCCTTGGGCACACGGGTCTATATTTTATTGTTGAGTGCTTTACTTAGCCAAACACGAGGTCTTTCCTCAACAGAGCCCACAGCCAAGGCTCCTGTAGCAGGGCACAGAAGTAAAAGCCCCTACAAAGCATGACGATGAGCAGACAGAGGGTACAAAACCAGGATGGAGGACAGAAACTTTTGCATTCAGCAGTGCCTTGCCATCAACACAGCCTGGTCCCACTGTCCCTGTCCCTGCAGAGCCCCTGCTTTGTTCCCAAGAGCCTGGCACCAGGCAGGCAGCAGATCAGGCTCTGCAGCCTGGCAGTCCTGGCAGGTCCATGGCTGCAGCAAGTCGCTCCGTGGGGGTACACAAACCTAAGGACACCATCGCATTCGTTCCTCACATCAGAATAGAACTTTTCTGCTCAAAAACTCCTCTATTCCCTCCCACACACATGTTGAGGGGTTCAATAAGAGGCAGCGTCCCTCTTTGCAAACCATCCCATTGAAAGACCCTCTAAAAGCATTTCCTAAAAGCACTCAGGGATTTTCCTGTATTCTTATTTTTAACCTGAGAGCATCTAAATCATGATTACAATCTAAGTATCATGGGGCCTCAAAGAAGCAAAAGCAGCCCAGCTTCCCCTGCACAGACCTGTCCAGTGGAGATGAACGAGACTGCTGGGAGATCTCCAGCCCAGAGCGGTGAGTGGCAGCAAGGGGCTGTGGGCTCTGGCTTTGCCCCTTGTGGCTCCTTCCAGCAAGGTCCCACCGGTCACACAGCAGCCTACTGCGACAGCATCTGCCCAGGGCTCCTCCTGAGGCTGAGCTGAATTTGCAGCTCAGATCGCAGAGACCGTGGTCATCTGGATTATCTACTTCTCAGAGGAAAGCTGCTCAGAGCGACACAGGCTGCTACTGCTGATGCGGCGGCAAATGTGATTTATTAGGTCTGTGCAGGGGGCCCAACCATAAGGCAACCCCAGGCCTCCAGCAAATTCATCTTCATGTGGCCCTGGCCTCCCCAGCTGACAGGGACCTGGCAGCCACCAGACTACCCGAGGAAGCACAGAATTTTCTTATTATGATTAAAAGGTTGTTGGCAAAAAACCAGACAAGATAGAATTTTTTTGCTTCTTTTGGTTCAGTTTTCAATTCCAGGTTAAAAAAAAAAAAAAGACTGCTGAGCCTTCCCCACAGCAGTTTAGCCTCACATTTGGGTGTCACAGCCACCAGATCTTAATGCAAAACTGTATTAGCATAGTGGGGATTACATGTAAGTGATTAACGGGGTGACTATCAGCTCCCAGCACTGCTGCAGGAGGGGACACAGCAACTACCTGGACATGCCTGCAGCTCCTGCACGGAAAGAGGCAGCCCCTCGGGATGGATATGGATCATTTTCAGCCCTTTCCGACAAGGTGTTGTATGGACTGAGGTGGTCTGGCTCCTCCTGGCTCCTGAGGTGGCTCTGATTCTGACGTTTAACATCTGTGGATGCAGCATTTGTATGCCTCTGCCCACTCAAAGGAGGTTCTCTGCTCTCTGATCATGGCACCAAGATGCCACGTGGGGAGTGGAGAGTTCATCTTGTCATGAAAATGATTCAAAAATCACTGTGGGAGGATGAGGAGGCAGAGTGGACAGATGACCCAGGTAATTGCAGAATATTAATTTCCCTTAAAACCCCCCAACTATTAGGGCAAAAAGGGAATTCCCCTCTTTTCCATGATGGAGGTAAATCTCTACAAAGAGAAGAGGAAGCAAATGAGGAACTACTGTCAAATATTGCAAGTTAATTGGCTGAAAATTATACACTGCCTTCTACACACAGCCTAGAAAACATCTAAGACAAAGCTTCAGCCCTTTCTCTTCAAAAACACTGCTAATAAATCAGGACAAGGACAACCCAGCCCTGGCTCTCCATCCACCCCTGGATAAGGTTCTGCTGCACTATAAAACCTGACTGACATTTTGTGCCACATCCACCTCTTTGCAATGTTCAGGCTGGATTTTAAAGTTCTTCAGAGGGTCAAGAGGAGTCAAAAGTCAAGTTTTCCATGCAGATGCTACCAACTACCACATAAACAAGCAGTCTTCCACCAGCATGTCTAGTGTCTCCAGGGTTTGCTTCCAGTTCTCCTGACATGACTGTTATCTTGCACGTACACCCCAGAGGAATCCATGGTATATGATAAGCTGCAGCCAAGAGCAAACACAGGACTAAGAAGGCTCTTTCAAGAAGCCAGAATAATGCTTCCCAGCAGAACAGGAACCCCCTTTGCAGTTTGCAAAGCTGATCCCCGCCTGACTACTGTTTCTTGCAAAAACCACGTAGGCTGGCCCAAAACACAGCTCTCAGTATCTCCAGATGAGTTGGAAGTGCAAGCTGCATACGGCACGTAGCAGCCAAGAACAGCCTGTCAAAATGAGACTGTTGCCTAAAGAAACTAGTAAGCAGTTACAAAACCAAACATCCCTCAGGGAGGAGATGCACACCACAGCCAGATTTCAAACCATTTATTGGTGCCCAGTCCATATAGATCCCAGGGCTTCCCCACAGTGCTCTAGATATACACAGCACGCACGGTCTTTCAGTTCTTCAGTAAGGTCACCAGGAAGCTGACAACCAGGTGATTTTGGAGATGAGTTTGTCCTCAGTCATCTTCATGTGACCGACAGCGACAGCCAGACAGAGCACTGGGGACAATGACACCAAGGTCACTTGGTAAAAGCTTTGCAGTGAAACTGCAAAGACTGCAGCCTGCTACCTAATAAAGCCAGAACAGCAGGCTCAGACCTTGATGATCAGGGCACAATTTCTATTTATGTCACATTTTGGGCAGCCCTACAATATCTTCAATATACTCATCCATTAAGTCACTGGTATGCAAATACATCAAGAATTTGGCTCCCTAGAGGTTTCTTTCCTCCAGCTAACATAGACTTTGAAGCCTCATCAGTCCACTGTCACCTAAAATAGCTTAAGAGATTCTTACTGTAAAGAAATCTGTGCTCTCAGCATTAAGAGCATCACTTAATGCTTCAGGGTTTCATTCTTCTGGCTGGGTCTAAACGTTAATGAGCAAACTTGAAGCAGTAACATGTCACACCTACATGTTTTAATCCCTCTTTTCCCTTTGTAAATGTAAACGTTTATGAATTTTTAAAATAGTTTCTGAAATACATAATGCTACAAAACCTCCATTAAAACTCTAACACTACCTCCCTCAGAGTCCATCCACCCTCTTCCATCCTTATCTTTTCTGTCCTCCAATGAGAAGGTGCCCAGATGATGTTTCCACTGGGTGTTTTCAAGGATACAGGATAGAAATTTGGAAAAAGTCATGCTGTAGAAGCACTTTTTATTAGTGTATCACTAAACACCTTGCAACAGGAACTGTCATCATTGCCACATTGAAAACCAGAAATGACACACACAGCAGGGCCACTTGCAAGCTCTGGCAAAAATGAAAAAAAAAAAAAAAGGCAGAAAATTCAAGTTTACCAGCTCTTCATCTAAATCTCACTCTTCTGTACTGTGAGATTTATAAATCCTAGCAGACCAGATAACCCAGGAGATCACTGCTGCACCACCCAGAAATCAGCTTAGCCATGGGAGAGAAAGGCTGATGTGCACAAAATGTGCCACTTGGGCCTTGGCTGCTTCGAGCCAAGACAAAATCACAATGGTCCAGAATTATCATCTTCAAACAGCCTCACATCCATTTCCGTCTTGATTCAGCAATGTGTTAAGGGCATTAAGAACTAAGGACCTGTGAGAACTCCTCTATGCAATACTGCTCACCAGGTGCTCCAGGACACCATGGTGGAAAAACACTTGAAACATAAAAGGGTTTAGACAAGATGACTCTTCACCTTGGCTAACAGGCTGCCACCGTGAGCAAGGAGAGAGGGAGGTTTGTCGGCTTTGTGCAGACCTGGAGGCAGGAAGGAGCAACCTGCTACACAGAGGGCTGATGCATCCTACTGCTCAGCTGTCAAAAACAAAGAGTGTGGGTATACAGAGGAAATATTGCAGCTGTGTCGCTTCATTTTTAACCAGGAAACGGATCTAGGTTGATTAAAACAAGTAGGGACACCTGCAAAGCAGACTGATGAGACACATGGATGCTCAGCCAAGGTCTTCAGATTTACAAGTTATCAGAGACGCGGGCGCAGGGTAGGAGACATCACGTCATCCAAGTGTACTCGTGAAGCCAAAGGGCACCTGAAAGCAGAGAAGGGCTTCTGCTTCTTCTGTAGCTTCTCACTGCCCGGTCAGGTAACCTGGGGATCTGCTCAACATAAACCCCTTTTTCATACGGGAACGCAGAAAACGGGCAACCTTCCTCTGAGGGGAAACGGCAGCTGGCCTCAGGCCCAGGATTGCTGCAGCCCGCCTTCAGGCGCTCAGGTACTCGTGTGCCAACATTATTCCATCGATAATGCCAAAATAATGGATTTGTTTTCCTGATTTTACAAAAGCCACCTTTTTGGCACAAACCATCTACAAAAAAAAAAAAAAGTCACCTTTACACAACTCCCCCCCCCTCCAGGCGATGCTCAGCCCGGCCACCCCTCACACCCGCGGGCCCAGCGCCGCTGTGGGGCAGCCCGGGGCTCTGAGGTGCCCCCCACCGCCGGAGGCTGGGAGGGAGAGGGCAGCGGCGGCTCCACGCGTCCCGCAGCCCGCCCCTCCGCAGCTCCTCCTCTGCCGCCATCTTGGGGGAGGCGGGGAGGGCGGCGCCATCTTGAGCGTGGCAGCGCGGGAAGGCGGGAGGCGCCATCTTGAGTGTGGCAAGGCGCCGGTGGCGGCGGGCTCTGAGGCGGCCCAGAGACAGACCAGACACGGGGATGACTAGAAATATATTCATTGTTTAACCGAGAAAACCCTCATCTTCAAGCTTCTGGGCGTGCGTGGGGCTGGGATGGCTGGCTGGCCGAGCACACAATGCCGCTGCCACTGCCCACGCTCGCTCGGTCTCCATCACGCTGGTGGTGAACCCCAGTGAGGGACTGGGCTGCAGCTACTCCAGCCTAACGAGCATCCTCTGTCAAGGAAGCCATCGCCTTGCAGTTCCCTTTGGCACTCACCTGGGAGGAGGAGAAAGAGGAGAGAAATCAAGAAAAAGAAAACCCACTGCCAACCACACCCTGGCACAGCTTCTGCTGGCACTCATCCGTTTCCCACCACCCAGGGCAGAGCAGGAGCACAGAGGCTGCCATCCCCAATGAGAAAGACCCCAGTCCAGCCCAGAGGGCTCAGCATCCATCTCACCTGGCTCCTTCCAGCACAGCCTGCAGCGATTTCTTCAGAGCCGCGTTGCTCTGATCTAGAGCAGCAGCCAGACTGCGCCGGTGGGCTGAGGTGACCTGGGATGGAGAGGAGCAAGGAGCTGAGAGCTGCACTGCCAGGAGCCCACCTGAGAGCCCTGGGCCAGGTCCTGGGTCAGCTGCAGACCCGGCTGGCAGCTCACCCGCCTTGTCTTACTCACCTGGCTTTGGTACATGGTGAGCACAGCTGTCACCAGCTTGGCATAATTCAGTGACGTGGCAAAGGCTGGGGCCTGCCGGCATAGGGTCAGGACCAGGAGATCAAAGAGTTCAGGGGGCAGCACCTCCTGGAAGAGAGCCACAAGTGAGGAGGAGAGCTGGTCCTTCCTCCAGCACTGCTGGAGCCAGCAAAGAAACCCGGGGGACAAGGGGGTCCCCTCACCTGTCGCCCCAGCACAGCCTGCACTACCGGCAGGAGCTTCTCTGACAAAGGCACTTCCAAGACTTGGCTGCAAAGGACGGTAAAGAGATGTGATGCTCACACAGCCTTGCAGGTGCTCCTGAGAAGCTGGAGCCAGCCAGACCCATCAAGGCAGGCACGAGGGCTGAAGCAGAGCTGCCGCCCCTGTAATCTCATACCTTAGCACCAGTCGCACAGAGTCTGGCTCCAGGCACTCCTCCACGAGGTCGCACACCAGCTTGGTCTGCTCAGTGCCTGTGAGGGCAAAGCAGAACGGGGGAGAGCTTCCAGAGGCTGCCAAATCCACAGAGACATGCCCAACTATTCCTGGCATCCCTTCACACAGGGGTACATCCCAGTCAGAACACCCAGAAACCACAGAGTGCCTCCTTCTACCGCTCAGATAATCCAGCTTCTTTCGCCCATCTGCAGCAAGGGTTTAGCAAGCACCAGTCCCTAGGAAGAGGGGATGATACTGTGGCAGGGATTCATGCAGGACCCTCTTCTTGTGCCAGCAGAGACACTAGGGAAGTTTTGGCCCCAGCATTAAGAGTTTTCTGGAATTCTCAAGTCCATGGAGTGGTGGCAGCTGTCCTACAGGAGAACTGATGGAAATCAGGGTGGCCTCCCCTCCCTCTCCATCTCAGGCATCTGTAAACCCATCTTCCATCCCAGCTCCCAAGCATTCACCTGCCCAGTTAAACCCAGCAACATTCCTCTGTGGTTCCTAACATGTTTTAGGTGATAAATGCCTCCCAGGAGACAGCACTCTGCAGTTGGGGCTTCCCTTCCTGCTGGATGCAGCCACAGCCCCTCTCCAGCTCTCTCAGCTGCTCCCAGAAGCAGCCCGTGCCTCCTGAAAGCCCATCGCACCTTCCCATGGATCCTGCAGGACCGCAGCCACCAGGACTCGACAGAAAGGCTGGGAATACTTGGAGCAAAACGAAGCGAGGGCAGCCATGAGATGACGGGAGGGCAGCTGGGTGAGGGACAGGACCTAGAGACAGAAAAGGCAGGAGATGGGGATGGTGCTGAGGGAAACTGAGTTCAAGAAACCTCTAACCTCACACTTACTCGCCTGAGGAAGAGCTGCTCTGCCAGGATGACTGCGCTGGTGTAGCTGAGATTGGGGGTGAGAGCCAGCAGCCAGCTGCAGAAACGCACCAGGAGGTGCTCTGGGCACGTGGAGAGCTGGAGGAAGGAGCACAGCCCCTCGAGCTGGGGACAGCAGAGGGGACGGGGTCGTTAGGGATGGCAGCAGGCCCTTCACGGCACCGGCAGTTGCAGCAAGGATGCTGAGGCTCACCTGGCTGGGAGAGCAGTTGTTCAGGACGTGCATCTCAGGTGGGATGCTTGACTCTGAGTGCTGCAGGGAAACACAGTCCTTGAGTAATACACCAAACAAAGCAACACACAAAATACAGCTCCAGGGCTTTTCTCTTCCCTAGAGTCCTCTGCTTTGGCCAGCACTGACCCTGCAGACCCATCAGGCAGCAAATCTGAGAGGTGGAGACAGGGTTTATACTTGAGCACAGGGGAGGTGGCAGCAGGGCTTTTTCTCCCCCTCCAGTCATCCCTGTGAAAGCCACCTCCTCTCCCAACCCTTCTGGAGGTTCTGGCATGGCACGAGCTCCAGGAGAGAGACAGAAGCAACCACTTACGTCGGACTCCTGCAGCAGCAGCATTTTCAGCCTCTGTCCGTGCTTCTGAGGAAAAGGAGATGAAGAAATAGAAATCAGAGTGAAACAGTTCACTGGCTGGAAGGGGAAAGCAAACCCTGCCTGGTACCTGGAGAAAGGACTGGACCTCTGCTGCCAGCTCTGCCTGGGAAATCTTCCTGTGGTCCTCAGCTGCATCCTCCTGGGAGCTTTCTGGAGCACCTCCGGCCGGGCTCCGAGATCTGTTCCCCGAAGGCTCCCCAGGCACCTCCTCTTCCATCTCTGCCCCATCCCCATGCTCCTGGGCTCCCGGGGATTCAAACGCCACCTCCTCCAGCAGCAACCTCTTCCCTTCTCTCTCCTCATCCAACTCCAGGCTCTCCTCCGACACTTTCTTGCGCTTCCCACCACGAAGCACAGAGTAAGCCACGTCCCCAGCAGCACCGGGCTGCTTGCTGAAGCACCAGTTCAGTTTCCTTTGCCTCTCTGGTTTGTTCTGGGTGATTTTCTGGCACAGGTGCTTCAGCTGCTGCTGGCATGCAGAAGACAAAGGAGTGGGAGGTGGGGAGCACCCCTCTCCCCTCGGTCCCTGCTGGAGCAGATCCCTCAGCGTCCGCACCCAGGGATCCACATGGGAATCCTGCTCCACAGCCTGGAGCAGCTGGCCAAGGCAGCCCCCCGGCACCGCGGTTTGCACCATGAGGAGCAGGGAGAAGAGGTTTCTCTGGCACATGACAGGGAGCAGCAGCAGCCGCGGCTTACTGGATACGGAGAGAAAAAGAAGAGGTACTTGTCAGCGCAAATCCCCGAGTCTGTATTGCCAACGTGCCCCACGGAGCAGGGTCTAACGGGACTAGGAAGCGAGAGGAGGCAGCAAATGCCTTCACCAGCTTTTGCAAACACAAGCTGGAAGACTGGCAGGTTCTGCTATGATCCTGACCCCACGTGCTGACCGTTGCACGGGGGGGAAGAGGATGCATGGTGCTGAACTGGGCCCCTCCCACGCCAAACGTTCCACAAGACACCGAGTTTTGGAAACACAGCCGACTCACACAGCCAGGGCCCCCTCCGGCCCCTCCAGCGTGGGCTCCTCGGCGCACAGGGCTGCGACGAAGGTCTGCCAGGGGAACGCCTGGCCGGGTCCCCCGCTGACCTGGGCCCGCTGCAGCATTCGGAAGGCAGCCAACGTCCCGGAGGAGCCGGAGGCAAGTGCGTGGAGCAGCAGGCGGCACGGCTTGTCAAAGCTCTGCAGCCAGGGCAGACAGGGGGACTCCATCGCTGCTGGGGGGGCTTCGCAGCCACCTGCAAGGAAACTGGGGAGAGCCTGATGTGGGTCAGGGTGAGACGGGCGCAGGGAGGTTTGGTACCTCCAGGATGGTGTCAGCCACGCTCTGGAGCAAACCCCGGGGTCCTCCCTCACTGGCTGCAGTTTCGGGGCTGCCCTTATCTACGTGCAAGGGGCCCGTGGTTACCCTCAGCCCGAGGAAGCAGAAGCGTTACCGAGTCACCGCCCGGCCAGGGGACCGGGAGCCCCTCCGAGCCCTCTAAACCCACCCCGCCCGCAGCTCCCCCCCAACAATCACCAACTGAGCGCTCCCCCCGCTGCCCTCCTGGGGGGCTGAGAAGGAAAACCGCAGAGGGCTGATGGTGGGGTCCCCCCCAGCTCCTCCGGGAGCGGACTAGCTCTAACCCCCGCCTCCCCGTGGAGGGGCCCGCAGCCAGCGCTGGCCCTGCACTGCCCCGGTTATTACGGTGTCCCCGTTATTACCGTACCCCGCCCCGAGCAGACACTTACCGGGGGAAAGGAGACGATGTGGAGTGGAGGGGACGGTTCCCAGTATGTCCCTACCCGGGGACCGGGACCCGCACGCCACGGCCC